CAGATTTCTTATTCTCCTTGTAAAAGCCTTAGAGTTTTGTTGTAGGAAAGCCTCGCATAAATTAAACTTTAAATTAAATTTCATTCCATAAGAAAGTTATGATATAGTGATGTCACATTTTTGGCAGATTCATCTTCACTATGGATTGTGCCTTCATATTGCAAATGCCGTAGGAAGATTTTATGTTACTTTAAATTTCGGAATAGTGGAGGAGTCAGGATAGGGATGGTGTAACTTTAATAAACAAAGGGAGCATGAGTAATACATTTAAAGGATAATAGAATTTTAAAAGCTAGAAACTTCTGCTTGGTTTTCCGTCCTCGAGAACTTGCTCTTTTTAATCATCTTCTTAGAAAAACCATTCAGAGAGAAAGATTTTCAAAGCTACTTTTTGAGATTGCAATTGTGGTTGGACAGATTTTATGAAATTCACTAGTGAAATGATGTTATTTGCACCAATGAAAAACGTATCAGAGAGTTCTGTTGAGGTGCCATTGACCTAGGTGCCAATAATGTGTTAATTTCCATCAGGAAGACAGCAATGTGTGGCAATTGGGCAGCAGATAGGATTTAGCTATTTTTCATTAGTGCTTGGACGTTGATAAAGGGGAATGGAAAAGAGCTGCTTGACCTTTCGGTGCTTAAATTATTAAAGAGCAAATAGATTTGAAGCCTGGATGCTTGCAAATCTAATTTCTCTTGTGGAGCAAGGATGAAAAGACATTTTGGGTCTGAAATTGCTCTAGTCAACTTAGTTCTTCCTTTAATATATCTGAAGATGAGTAGATGGTAGCCATTTAAAAAGTAATATATCTGGAGTGGAGAGGAGTGTATAACATACCAGCTGGCTACAATGGGGACCCATTAAATGATCATTTAATTCTCAAGTTTTCATCTAATCCTCACAAAATTCCTGCTTGGAAAAATTAATTTCTTCCACCCATATTCACATAGATGGCATTTAGGTCACAAAACAAAATTTTCTTTCATTAGGAAATGTCAAATATTATATTGTTCAAGTTAAAATAGGGCAGTGCTTGGTACATAGTAGGTGTTCAAAAACATTTCTTAAGTTAATAAATGAGTAAATATACACACAACACAGCACACATACTAGCAAAGTTGGAGAAAAGATGAATGGGAAGTAAGAGATGAAGGTGTGAGAAGGGGATAGAAAAACAGAGGAGGCAGCCTTTGATTCTCTCAGGGCTCATTATTTAATCATGGGTTTTCTTGCATAAACTTACAATCTAACCAGCATCCTCTCATCATGAAACCTGGTTTGTTTGTTTTTTAAGATTTTATTTGTTTATTTGACAGAGAGAGACACAGCGAGAGAGGGAACACAAGCAGGGGGTGTGGGAGAGGGAGAAGCAGGCTTCCCGCGGAGTAGGGAGCCTGACGCGGGACTCGATCCCAGGACCCTGAGATCATGACCTGAGCCAAAGGCAGACGCTTAACGACTGAGCCACCCAGGCGCTCCATGAAACCTGTTTCTTGATAATTTCTTCTTCCCTTTGCGCTTGGGTATTCAAGGAATGAATACAAAATAAACTTAGTATTAAATTTTAGTAAAGCGGGGCATATTTGTGATTACCAGTGTATTTCTTCCCTACCACTACATATAATGTATATAAAATAGAAATTACTTGTGGATTATATTATGCTTTCAAAAATATGTGCCTCATGGTCCACTTCATTCTAAGTGTGCTGAGATAGAGATGACTAAATCACAGACCTATTCCTCTAGGAACTTGTGAGGTTTTTGAAGATATTGATAAATAGACACAAATGATTAGTAGTCTTTACAAGAAACATATTTTTGTGAGTGTGGAGCAAAGCAAAAGTACATCAAAATGGGGGAACAGATTATAAGCCCCTGAGAGAAGGCTCATGAGAGGGTCTCAATCTTTTTATGACATAGGGTCATCTGCTGAGAGTGGCGAAGGATTTCTGTGTGTTGGGGAGAACAGCATTTCAAGAACGAACTTGGGTCCAGGCCAAGGTGAAGGAATAGAGGACAAGGTGTTTGTGATAGGAGAATTCAAGATGGTGGCACTTGACAGTCTGGAAGTGGTTGTGCTAGTCTTTCATCTAGGGGAGTTGGAAATGAAGAGTGATTACTGTCCTCGGTGCCATTGGTGACCGAGTTGCTGGTTGGGATCAAGAGCTGGAGAGGACACCAGCCAGGTGCTGGCCTCAACTGCAGATCCAGGAGCATCCTCCCTGGAAATTATTAATGACTCAGCGAGAGATGGGAGAATGAGTTGAGGTCAAAGGTGAAATTACCATCTATAGCTCTGTTTATGTGATAAATGAGAAAGAATATACAATACTCAAAGTCCGTTGATTCTGGGAAGTAGGTGGGGACCAGTTTGTGTGTCAGTTGTGTCTGCATAAGAGGGGAAGATGCCCATGGGGCAGACAGTTCACATGAGCCCCTTAACCAGGGCTTTTACAGGTGATGCTAGTACTGCCTTGTCTGATGGTCATGAGACCACGTCTACTACTTCATCACCTGTGAGCCCCAGATGGAACGGGCACTTCACCTCTGAACCCCAGTTTTCACATCAGTAATATTTTACTGATATATAAAGGAAAATAAAGCTGACCTGTGCAAGTCTCCCAGCCTAGCACTTCCTGTATGGAATAATTTCTGCAAATTTTTTCTTCACATGTATCTTCACATTTCCACTTTGTGTAGTATATGAGTTTTACAGAGTGGTTTTTAAAGTGAAATTTTGAGGAGGCCCTTGGTAGCTCAGTTAAGCATCTGACTCTTGGTTTCGGCTCAGGTCATGATCTCGCATAAATTAAACTTTAATGATCTCAGGGTCGTGAGATCAAGCCACGTGTCTGGCTCCATGCTCACCTGGGAGTCTGCTTGAAGATTCTCTCCCCGCCCCCCCACTCGTGCTTGTTCGCTCTCTCAAATAAATAAATAAATCTTTAGATTTGCTCTCTGGGCAAATGTTCTCAGCTCAAATGTTCTCAAAAATAACATTTCTATTTTCCTATGATTTTGTGGGCCAGCAAAGGCTTGTCTGTGCAGTTCCTGCTTGGGGTCTTGGGGCTGCCCTCATGTGATGCTCAGCCATGTGGCCTTCCACAATGGTCCACACACATGGCCATCAGTGATGCCAGTTGTTGGCTGGGAGCTCTTTGGGACTGCAGAGCAGAGTGGTTGCATGTGGCTTCTCCACTGTGGCAGGTTCAGGGTGATTGGACCATATACATGGTGGCTGGCTTTTTGTTCCAGAAAACTAACTTCCCTGGGGAACCAGGCTGAAGATGGCATGGACTCCTCTGACCAATGCCTTGAGAGTTATCCATTGTCCCACTGTTACATTCTTTTGGTTGTATGTTGTCATTAAGGTTGGCCAACCCCATTCTTGATGGGCTAAGTGTAAGAAGTTGCAGATATATTTTCAAATCACCACATCTAACCATATATGTAGGAAGTCAGGGAGAAGGGGGTGAGAAATCAAAGTCCACTTTACCTCTGTATGTATTCCTTGTCCTCCATAGAGGATGATTCTTCCTAAATATGTCCTTTCATGTCAGATCCATCACATAGTGAGAATTATACCAGATTTGGTGGAGTGTCTTACATAACCAATAGAAAGTCTCTGATGTTAAGAGGTTAGGAAGTATTTCTGGTTTTTATTTAAGTTTACATCACACTCAGAATTTGCTTTATCATTGTACTGTAATCCTATTGTACTACCTGTCTACTGAGCAGTTATTCTGATGTTCTACAACAGTTGATTTTTATTTGGACAGAATTACAAACTGAACTGCAGCTGCTACATTGCATTCCTGTAATGGAATGTGTTAAGTAGTTGTACTCCCAGAAGTAGGTGATTTCACAGAGCGCACATTCGGAGTTCACAAGGGCAGACCCAAAGAGGGACCTCTCCAGGCCCTCCCCAGGCAGGGGGGCTTGTTAGGCACCTCTCTCCTGATCTTCTTGGGCAATAATGAGGACCCGTATGAGCAACTCTAGGATTGCAGCATTGTTCCAGGGAGTCGTGGTGCTTTTCTGATAAAGTGAGAACAAGGTACATTTCCTTGCCAGAATCAATCTATTCTGATTCAGTTCTTAAAAGCTGCTGTCAAGTGTTAGTTTTGCTCAGTATCAGAAACTTTTTTTCACCAAAACTGCACAAATGTTCATCATTCTGGTAAAATATATATCTTAATAGAAACATCTATCCCTTCAAGATTTGTCCCATTCTCCTATGGCTACTTTGAAATTCAGACATCAGAATGGGGCAGGGGGGAGGGGAGTAGGTGCCGGGACCCCCATCCTTGCAGGCGTCTTCGGAGCATGCTCATCCCCATCTCATCTTTATATATAATTCAGATAACCTGGTTCATGACCTACTCTTGGAAACTGCTTATAACTCCAAGGCTTTTGAAATTCCAGTCTCTTTGCTCTCCTCACTTCATCTCTTTCCATTGATCTGATACAGTGAAGGGCAAAAGAATATAAGAAAATATGGGAAGTTAAACCTTACTTAAACATGAATTACATATTGTGTTTTGTGACTTGTTAAAACTTCACATGCATTCATACAGATGTGATTGAAGAAAATAATACTTTGCCTTTTTTTAAAAAATAAACTTACAGTGAATATAATTTCACTTATTAGGTAAATTGAGTTACATGTGAGAAAAACATCATTTTAGTGTCCTGCTCACATAAACAGCAGAGATTGTTACATAATTTTTTTTAAATTTTCGTGAACTTTGTTTCCCTCAATACATTGTATTATCAGAGGTGAGAGAGTTCTAAGGGAGAATATTAAGTCCCTTGCCGCTCTTACATTGAGCAAGTGTTGATGTGTTGAGTAAGTATCCATTATGTACTAGGCCCTTATTATTGACTATATCCAGTACATTCTTTATTTTGAATATCCAGTGGGCCCCAATTAAAGGCAAAGGGAATCAGCTCAATTATCATAAAATATCACTGATAGTGCTTCTTTTTCCCCTAGCGTCTATCAAGTAGTTGTTGAGGAAGAACGTCCTCGAAGAACTAAAAAGACAACGGAAATCTTGAAGTGCTACCCTGTGCCAATTCACTTCCAGAATGCATCAATACTGAACTCACAGTACTACTTTGCTGCAGAATTCCCAGCCAACAGTCTCCAAGCTGCTCAGCCTTTTACTATTGGTGATAACAAGACATACAATGGATACTGGAACACTCCCCTTCTCCCCCATAAAAGCTACAGAATTTATTTCCAAGCTGCTAGTAAAGCCAATGGGGTGAGTTTTATAGATGGCTATTTACTTCGGCTATTTAGAGTTATTAATGTGAACATAGATTAAAGAAGATAGTCGTAAGAAATAAAGGCATGCTTTTGTATGTTTTTACTTCGAACAAATGGGGGTTTTCTTTCTCTTTCTAAACTTATTTTCACCTAGAGAAATTTATGGAAAGAAATGAATATATTTGTATTTGTGTTGGTAGGAAGAATATATTGTCAACACGATGGTTTTTATTTTCAGTTTTTACTTGCTATCAAAAGTTGGCTAGCAATTCTGCTTAGCTTACTATTTTACAGGAAAAGAGTGGAGCTACAACACATACATTCAGCTCATTTAAAATTCTGTGAGATACACAACATCTGTCTTTTCAGCATATTCTATCCCATTTCTTTGGTTTCACAAGAGTTTATACTTCCTATAGCTGTGACTAAATTAGGTATCTTTTTTTTTTCTAAGAGAAAACAGCTTTAGAAAGATAAGATGAAAACAAAATAAAAACTATGGAGTCATTCCTGAATTTTTTCCCCTTTCCTGTTCAGGCCAACTCAGAACTCTGGTAAGATATAAGATATAAGTCTCCTTAAAAAGAAGTGTGAGTTTTCCAGATACCACCCTCCTTCACAGTATGAGTCTAAGTATCATCACTGACTTGACTTGTGCCAGTGAAAAGGGAGGGAATCTAGGACCCTGAGTTCTCCTCCAGTACTATCTGCCCAGAGAGCAAGCAAGGATCTGAAGAAGCCAGGGCCACTAGGCAGAAACATTTTGGGAGTAGCTCCTCATTCATCATCTGCTCCAGAAATGCCCATGGCCACCAGCTCTGGAGCTGGAAAATGTATCTGAGCGTGGTTCAAGTAGTAATCATCCTGTGAACATGTATCTGAGTGGGGTTCCAGAAGTAATCATCATGTGATTAACACCACACTCAGAACAATGAGATCTTTCCTTATTGGCATTTACATAGAATGACAGATAGTTTTATTTGTTTTAAGTAAAAGACAAATAGTGATTTTTTTTTTCCCCTCTTTATTTGACACAGGAAACCAAAATAGACTGTGTCCGAGTGGCCACAAAAGGTAGGTTGAAACTGTGGGATGCTCTCCCAGTTTATGTCCTTTAAAAATTTAGATGGTATTTCAAAACTTCTTGGAATGTTAACTTCATTGAAAGAAGTGTGTGTATGTGTGGGTGGGTGTATTAGAGTGTTAACAGTTAACATTGACTCACTATTTCATGTAGATACTTTTTAAAATAAGGAATCATAAAATTGTGTTCCAAGCAGTTTTCAATGGTTAGCTTTTTCAAAATTCTTTTAAAATAAAAACAATGTTTATGTGATCTTAGTACAGGTTTTTTAAACCAGAGGAGTACTATGACTAGTGAATCTTCATATGCAAAGTAGTAAAATACTGCCTGCTAGTTTTAAGCAAATACCTAGTGATAAGAGCTCTCCCTAGGGGAGAGCATAGGCTTTTTTCACTGATGATGGGTCTATTGAACCCAGTAACTGGATGATGTTAGTGGAACTTCTGTTTCCCAGACCTGGTTAAACTTCTGAGAAAATGTGATCAAGGACCAGATGTAGAAGTGGCTGGGGCGAACCACCATAAGCTCACCACACACAGCCTTCTAAAAAAGAGAGTACAGTTGTGTGTGGGCATGAGTTGTAAGGTCATCTTCTCAACCTTGCAGCGTGGTTTTAACCAGCATATGGGAAGCATATGAGAAAATGCTTTGAGAAATGTAAAGTCCTGCATTAAAACAAGGCATTATAAATTAACACTTGTGGTTGAACACGCCTTTTCAGACCATCCGAGTGACCCTGAGCACAATGAATTCTGCGTGATTTAATTTAGAAATGATGGCTTGAAGGCACCGTCAGGTCTATGGTACTAGATGTAATCGGGTTGTAGGCAATCACTTGAGTTCAGTTGGATAAAAATATCTTGTTTTTGTTATTTCCCTCTCAGGGAGCATAGTTGGATATGTCATGGACATTCATCTGCATTTTCAAACTTCTCATTGAATTCTTATTTCGTGAAGATATATGACCTTTTTATTCAGTTAGCCCGACAGATATTTCTTAGTTTCATGGTATGTGCCAAGCACTGTGTCAGGTACTCACGTCATTTGTATTTTGTTAGTCTCATGGGCTCATAGTTCTGTTTCCAACAATCTATTTATATTGATTTTGAAACACTCAGTTTTTTTATATCATATTGTACCTGATTAAGTGCTTTTATTTTTAGGAATAAATTAATAATAAATGAAATTAAAGATATTGGTTGTGTTTTATAAACTGTAATATGCTCTTAGCTATTAATTATTACAGTATTATGAAGACCCTTGAATGAGGTATCGATATCCTGAGACCTCCAGACCACCGCCCATGCTCCAATTGCTGGATTGAATTCTCCTTCCCCTTGGGGTCTGAAAGAGTAAATCCAGTTCCACAGTGCCTGATTTATAATGCCTTACATTGAACATCATAGCTGAAAGATTTGAAAGCACTTTCATACACACGTTATCTATTTCTTCAACATTACTGTGAGAAAGGAGGCAGGTATTACTATTTTTAATTTTTAAATTAAGAAAGTGCGTATTTTTAGAGACGACTTGACTAACCAAGGTCACTCAGCTGATAATCTGTGGGTCAAGGCTTAATTCCAAACTTTTGGACTCTGACCTGAAGTGTTTCACTATATTTCACAGCTCTTCGCCCAGCAGAACCTCTAATATATCCAGTTACGGTACTGCATTGTATAAGTGTCTGCTCTCCCCTTGATTAAAATCAAGGCCCTGCCCAGTTTCCTCTGAAAGCAGTGAAATATCTGTCATCATGTTCAGCTACATAGCTAAACAATTATATAAGTAACACGCTTGTAGATACAGAAATCTGCCGTTGGCCGTTTTCACAATAGATTGAATTAGATGGTGATTTGGATCCTTTTCTTCCATCAGCTAGATTTAATCAATATTGTCATTTGTTTTTCAGTTCACCCAAGGATGACTAGGCAATCAGATGACCTGATTGACTAAATATTCCCCACTCATATTTTCTGAGTCATTTGCAAACATTGATATAGCAACAACCTCTATCCACATCAACTCTACTGGGGAAAGAGGGGAACCGATGTTAAGAGTCATTAGATAACATTTTCATGTCTATTCATGAAAGCGTAATGCGGGAGGACACCTTGGGAGAATATCTCCTTGCAGGTGGAACTGCACTGTCCCATACTATTTTATTTTATTATGTTCTACATGCACAGATTCAATGAACTTCCTTTACAACACAGTCTAATGCCACCCCCCACTACAGTCAGATCATTTTTCTTTATTCACGCTAAAGATTCTTTCAGCAGTGCAGGAAGCCATTCCGTCGTGACTACTTAGTCAAAACAGAGAAATAGGCAGTTCTAATAACTTTACTGGTCCCCTGCAGTAAAGATGCTGGAAATTTAAAAGAGTTCAGACTTTCTGTGTTTTTGCCACATGTGGCTGACGGTGTGGTGGATTAATTGAATTTCCAGGCACTAAACCACTTTCCTAAGCAGCATTTTGAATTTACAAAGATGTCGATGTTCTCATGAAACAACTGTTGACAAGTATTATAGAGAAACTATGAAGGTGGATTTGTTTTCACAGGAGCCTAGTTTGTAATTTCAAGTATGGGTATGTCTCTTAAAGATATATTTCATACTATTTATACATTTAATGTTGTGATTATTTTAATAATATTCCATGGGTATATTTTGACACTAATCATCTCAAATATAAAGCCTCATAAAAATTAGACATGGGAAAAAACCCTAAGGTGTGTTCTTACCTATCACCATATGTATGGGGATTGCCTATATTTTCCTGTGCCCTGTAATTTATACATCCTCATTCCTCACAGGTATATGTGACTGTATTTTTATTATTGGCTGTAGGCAAACACATCACAGAATATTTTATCTCTTGAGTTAAAAGATAAAGACACCATACAATAATAGAATATGCGTGATGTTTGGATGTTACCCTCAATTGTATGGTGGAGTTAATAGAATAGCTTTTAGCTATTCTTAGATTCTCTTAGTTTTATTTTGATTTTTAATCACATTCACATTTTTATAGTTGGATTCTTTTCAAGACCACTTTGGTCCAACTGTGTCTTAGCCATTAGCGTATGTATTTTCTTTGACTTTTGCATGCCTTATGGTTGCCTTGTGGTCAGTGGTAGGGTTGAAACTCTTTATGCTCGTTCTGGAAGGCTTTGTTGATTATCAGTTCTAAACAGACAGGATACACTTAAAAATCACAATCTGTCTTGTAGGTAATTTAGACTTCTCATATTAAATGAGGTATATCCATTCTAATTGATATAATAATCAGTTTAAACTGTATACTTTGCATCAGTCTTCCATAAAATAATATTTTCCATAGCATGATACCCTCTGTCTTTCTCCTTGACAGTATAGACGTTTGGGGGCTTTCTTGTTAAACATTTATTTTAAAATGTATGTGAGCACCTACTAAATGTTAGGCATAGTATAATCTGTGAGACTTCCTAGTATGTAAATATATGACTTTTAAATTTTTAAGGATTTTGAGTTCATAAAAGTTTTGGGGTTTTTTTGTTTGTTTCTTTGTTTTTAGTGTATAGGGGCTAGAGTCATATGTGTGTACTTATTCCTTTCTTTGCTATGATTTGGCTAAGAGCAGGTATAACTACAACTTGAAACAAAAACTTCATGAGAGCACATGCTAAATTCTTTTCAAAAGCATTATAGGAGTCAACCTATAAGTCTTAAACAAAAAGAAAAAACATTATTTTAGTGTCATATATTAAGATGAATTTTTGGTGCAAAAAATGCTTCACTTTTTTAAGCTCGGTATTTTATTTAACTTACTTTTGTACTGCAATGTGCGTATGCTTTGCTGGAAGACCTTCAGAAAACTTTGAAGGATTTCCATTGTCCTGATACAATTCTAACTAGATTCAGAAATTTGAATGTTTCTTTTTTTAATCACTAGGCTCTTTGAGAAGAAGTTTCTCTAGACTGTTTTCCTATTCACTGTTTTGTTCAAAGAAACACCATAGTTTCTAGGCCACAATGCTACAGAATGAAAACACACTGATAAAAGAGCTGAAAGGAATGTTGACATGCAAAGCTAATTAAGATTCCTTTTAATTATTCATATTCAATACAGGAGAAAACAAATTATATAGTAAGACCACTCATCTATGCTAATCTGCTATCATTTAGGTATGGATTTAGAAATAGAAATATAGATATGATCTCCATTTGTCATTCAGCATTTTGTAGAGAAAAATATTTTCTTTGACTGATCTGAAATAGTCTTCGCAATGTGCGTCATGAGTACAATCCAGGCCCCTGAGAAGTTAGTAAGGAAAAGAAAACCTGCTTAACTTTGTCCAGCCCTATGTTTCCCAAATTATTTGATCTGAACTCATTTTCCAAGAAACACGAAAGTCATGCCAAAGAGTTTGGTAAATACTGGTTCCTCACATCCCAGAAGACCCCACCACATGCAACTAAAATGACACTTTGCAAGTCTGATCCACTTTTTGCTCTTCCATTCATACCTTTGGGCCTAAAAGAGATCCTAAATTTATCAGCTACTATCAGATACTGTCTTCAAAGCAGAGGATTGGGATTTCTGACTTTACCTTACCAAATTTAGCAGTATTCTGTTTTGTAATGCATTTTTATTGAAATTTTAAGATGGGGGCAGCAAATTTTTAGGCAAAGGGCAGAGGGTAAATATGTTAGGCTCTGTGAGCTATATGGTCTCTGTCACAGCTACTCAGCTCTCCCACTGCTGTACAAGAGCAGCTGTGGGTGATGTGAAAGCAGTTAAGTCTGACTGTGTTCCAGTAAGACTTTGTCTGCAAAAGTAGGACGTGGGCCGGCTGACTCCTTTTTAAGGTAATTTGTAACAGAATCTAGTTTTTTTTTTCCTGGTAACTAAAAATAATAGTCACAAATGAACGCTTTAGAAGGCAGAACATAGAGATCATATAAAAACCCCTCCTGATATCTCTAATGTACCTTTTCCATGGGGGTTT